ATCTGGGATTTATTTAACTTCTATAATTGAAACTTTGTTGCCTTGGTCTGGCTCGAAGCCTGGTTTGCCCCTGGCAACCCAGGTTCCCAGCCCCTCCTTGAGCAGAGGCCATGCCGACTGGAAGCAGGTATGTGGGATTTATTTGTCTTCTATAATTGAAACTCTGTAACCTTCAACGGAGCTCAGGGCTGGCAGGAAGCTTGGCTTCCTCCATCGCCGGGTCAACTCAAGCCTCCTGCTCACTCCAGCTCTGTGGCTGCCACCATCTTTGTGATGGAGTGAGGGAATGAGGGTGGGAAGGTTAATTTGCATATTACTCTCTTATTAGATAGGATAGCATTGATTTGTGTGACTTAGGGAGTATTTGTAGATGAGAGAAGAGAGAGATTAGTTCAGAGGAGAGAGTGTGTATTCAGGAAAGTCTTTATGAAAAACTTTGTGGAGTGAGGGTGAGGAGAAACCAGTGTAGTATCTTCTATGTGCTTAGATATATGCTGGCTCCTTTATCTCATTCAACTTGCTTAAGGTCACATGGCTATTCAGAGCTAGTAAGATCTGGGACAGAAATCCAGATATCACATGCGCATTTCTCACTCAGCTACATGCTAGCTTGGAAGGATGGAGAGAACAGATAAGATGGGAAGAACAACATGAGTAATAGAAAGAGTGATTCTGAAGTGTGCTGTACTGGAGAGATTATTTCAAGAGCAAATATGTTGAGGGGTCACAGAAAATAACATCAAATAGATACAAAGGGAAGGGACAGATGATATAGTAGTCCCCTGTTATCCACGGTTTTAGCTACTTATGGTCAACAGCAGTCTGACAGTATTAAATGGAAAATTCTAGAAATAAACAATCCATACTTTTTAAAATTGTGCTTCATTCTGAGAAGCATGATGAAGCAAGATGTGACTCATACCTTTGTCAAGCTAATCTAGGCTCTATATGCTCCCTGTACATTGGTAATCTAGTAGCCATGTTGGCTATCAGATCCAATGTTGTGACATCACAGTGCTTGTGTTTAAATGACCCTTATTTTATTTAATAACGGCTCCAAAGCCATTCACATAACTTTTGTAACAGTACATTATAATTATCTAATTTTATTATTTTTGTTGTTAATATCTTACTGTGCCTAATTTATAAATTGAACTTTATCATAGTTATGTATGCAAAGGAAAAAACATAGTATGTATAGGTTTCAGTACTATCTGTAGTTTCAGGAATCCAAGGGGATCTTGGAACATATACCCTGTGGATAAGGGGGCAACACCGTATTTCTAAATTTCAAAACTCAAAAGAAGAGTTTGGACTTGATGAGGTATAAATTCAAATAAAATGAGTTACATGGTGAAATAGAACATACTAGATTTTAAGAGGTTGATAGGGTAAAAAGAGGTAGAGAAGAACAGAGTCAGTATTATATAGTGGAAGTAGAATGTGATGATGCTAAAAAAGGCAACCTGACTAAGTAAGCCAGAACATAAGCTCCTATTGGAGCTATATCTCTAGCCCTCAACACAGTACCTCTATATTAAGTGTTAAATAAAATCATATTGATTAGCATAATGAATGAATAAAGGAATTAATTATTATGGGAGATATATGTGACACCATGGACATTAACCAGACTGATATTTAGCTTAATTTTTTTTCTTGAAAATTAACTAAGAAAATGTTTTGGAATGCAAATAAAATTATTTGTGCTAATAATTAATGAACATTTAAACCATTTCTAAACCTATTAAATAGGCTTTGTATGTAATAATGAGTGATCAAAATAGCATTTCAAAAATTCAAAGCAGCTAATATAAGATAGTAATTAATGTATCAGGTTTATAGAATTCAAGAAGTTTTATAGCACCCTGTGCTTGCAAGTGTTTGAGGAAACAGACACTCTCAATGCATTGCTGATAGGAATTCAAATGGGTCCAACTTCTATTGATGGTAATTTGACAATATTTGGAGAATACTCAATATTTATCAAAATTAAAAATGCAGATACTTTGGAACAAAAATTCTACATCTAGTCATTTACATATGTAAAATCACACACATTAAAATATTAACTACAGCATGTTTTTATAATAGCAAATAAATGACACTAACCTAAATGAAACTAACTTAAAGCAGTATGGTAAATACATTATAGCACATTTGTGCAACTGGAAACTCAATCACTGTTTAAAATAATGATCTTTCAGATATTCTCTTAAATGTCAAAACACAAGATGTGGTTCAGTGAATCTGCATATATAATCGTGTATTTACATAATATCCCTGAAAAGATACTTAAGAAACTGGTAGGAGTGATTGATTTCAGAGAAACTGGTGGGGGTGGGTTTGGTGGAAGGGAGATATTTATCTTTACTGGATACCCTTTGCATTGGGTTGAACTATAAGAAACTGCCAATACTGAACTGTTTTTAATATACAAAAACAGCAATTTCATATGGTTTTAAAAATATCATTATATAGACTCTATCCTTCCTTCCCCCTCTCTCTAAAATCAATCAATCAATAAATAAAAATCATTTTTTTTAAAGTTGAAAAAAAACCCTGGCCAGGTGCTCAGTTGGAGCGTTGTCCCGATACACTAGGGTTGTCAGTTCGATCCTTGGTCAGGGCACATGCAAGAGTCAACCAATGAATGCATGAATGGATGGAGCAACAGATGTGTCTCTCTCTCTCTCTCTCTCTCTCAATCAATCAATCAATCAATAATTAATTTGAAAATAGCATTACAATTTCTACTACATGCATGTGTGAAAAAAGGGTAAAGGGGGTCAAATACATGGCAATGGAAGGAGCCTAGGCTTTAGGTGGTAAGCACACAATGCAATATATGGATTATCTATACAAGTGGTCAGCAAACTGTGGCTCGCGAGCCACATGCGGCTCTTTGGCCCCTTGAGTGTGGCTCTTCCTAAGCCTTAGGAGTACCCTAATTAAGTTAATAACAATGTACCTACCTATATAGTTTAAGTTTAAAAAACTTGGCTCTCAAAAGAAATTTCAATCGTTGTACTGTTGATATTTGGCTCTGTTGACTGAGTTTGCCAACCACTGATCTATACTAATAATAGCCTAGGTGGCATCACGCCCTCACCTCATCATAAGATGGCCATCATAAGATGGCCACCACAAGAAGGCCACACACACAGTGGAGGTGGGGCCCAGCCGCCACTCAGTGCAGTAAGGCCTGGGGGTCCCGTGGCTCTGTGCAACACAGAAGAGGCCCATCCTGGCATCTCCACCATCTCACATGGAGGAGGCAGGTCATGGCAGGGGAGGGTAGTTGTGAGTGATCAGGCCGGCAGGGGAGGGTAGTTGGGGGCAATCAGGCCAGCAGGGGAGGGCAGTTGTGGGCGATAAGGCTGGCAGGGGAGCAGTTAGGTGTAGATCAGGCTGGCAGGGGAGTGGTTAGAGGGCAATCCGGCTGGCAGGCAGAAACAGTTAGGGGCAATCAGGCAGGCAGGCAGGCAGGCAGGCGAGCTGTTAGGAGCCAGCAGTCCCGGATTGTGAGAGGGTTGTCCAACTGCCAGTTTAGGCCTGATCCCCAGGATCCCCAGGATCCCCAGGTTCCCCAGGAATCGGGCCTAAACCAGCAGTCGGACATCCCCCCCGGGCTGAGGGGACACCCCCCCCCCCCGTGCACAAATTTCATACACTGGGCCTTAAGTGTATTATAGAATTGTACACTTGAAACTTATATGATCTTATTAACAAACATTGTTAGTTAAAGACATTAATGTTACCCAAATAAATGGAATTATTTTAAAAAAAGGAAGTGTTTTTAATAAAGCTACATTGCATGCAGAAGGTTTTGTTATTTCTTACCAGAATTAGTATAGTGCCATCAAGTGAACTTAGGACCTGGTCAATTGTGTAGATAGATGGCTGGAGAATGGAATGGCCAAGAGGTAAACAACATAGTTTTTCTTTGGGAGGTAGTTGTAAGTTAGAGGTTAAGAGCCCCAATTTCTGAAGTCAGAGTACTTAGGTCTGAATCTTGGCTATGTGACCTTTCAGTACCCTAGCTTCATCTTAATAATAAAGATAATAATAATAGTGCCTAACTCATCAGTCCATGGTTGGATAAAATAAACAAAATATCTAAGGTGCTTGCAACAATGCATCACTACTGCCACCATTATCATTGTTATTATTATTATTAACATGACTAAGTCACTTTTGTAGAGCTTCAAACTCCCTTTTGCCCTTTTGTTCTCTCCTTTTCCTTCCAAAAGCACCTGTGCTTATTTTGGGTCTGTTTACCCTCAGATTATTCAAGCTTCTCCTGTGCTTCATCTCGCTGATCCTCATTCCTAAGTTTCCATGTCAGCTGACTTTTCCCTTGTCTCTTCACCCTAGTGGCAGTGGTGGCTCCCTGCTGTTGTTTATAGTTGGGTGGCCTCAATGTCCCACATTCCGCTTTTCACTTCCTCCATCACCTATGTGACCAAGTTCCAATACTAAATCTCTCTGTTTTCATTTCTATTTCTCTTTTCCTTGTTAGATACTGACTGATACAGTGGGGCCAATGCAAAGAGGTGTGAAAAGGATGGTGGATAGGCAGGATGTAATTGGTACTGGTGGCCAGGAATGATTCCAGTTCCTGACCAGTCTTATTTAACTGAGTCCTATGTGTATGAGCACACACTGAAAGTAACCTCCAATGCTAGTATTGTAGTAACCAAGTCTTAACAGGACTTAACAATTTCACTAAATCAAGCAAAGATCTTATTTCTGACTTGATGGTGTACATCTAATGGTTTCCATAAGCAAGTGCTATAACTATGAATATTAACTCTAGATTAGACCTAACCATTACTGAAAGGGAATACAAACATCAATAGTAATGCATAATTAATTGAATATATTTATGACTGTTATCTCATTATTTCCTAATGAGGAGTTCATGAGGCTATGCATGACTGTAGTTGGCTGGTAGGCTACTACATCAATACCTTGGGTCTTACAGAGTCAGATCAAATTATAAGAAATGCTAATTTATACACTCCAAGGAGCCCACTTACATAAAATAAAAGGTCTGCTTTCTAATTATTCTCCATCAAATCATATGCTGTAAGCCAGTTGTAGATAAATAAATAAGACCAAACAATGTAACTTATAGTGTTCTTCAACGTTTGTAAAGACAATTTCAGTTTGGTGGCATGAAACAACACATTAAAGAAACTTTCTTAAAATCAAGGCACTGAGTTACTCTGTTAAAGCCAGGAATTTTTATTCCACCACTGATTTCATTATATGTTAAATTATAATGTTCTAATTGGGAATTTGCAAAACACCAGACAATATTAAATTTTAAATGACTATTTCCTCTGAAATAGTTGCCAGAAAAATTATGGGCAGGAGCTAAATAGATTCTGGGTTTTTTTTTCTATCCAATACCATCAGTACATACATAGCATTTTAGAGTTTAGAGATAATTCTTAATAATAAAAAAGATTCTCTGTTAATTAAAAAAAAGTAGTTTAGATGACTAAAGACAATTTTATCTAAACATTATATTCAGAAAATAAAACTGATTTAAGATATTGTGACTTATTCAAAGAAACAGAATCCTTCGATGAAACAATCTGAAGAGACTTGGCAAATAGTTATTTTGATATTAGGCAGCATAGAAACATTTGTATGGAAAAAAAGGGGAAGTTGAAAGTCAACAAAGTGTTAACACTCTAAAGCTGCTTTTGGGATATTAATGTTAAGCTGGTTATTAAGACTCAGAAAGAACTTTTGACCCTTCGCCCTCTCTTGCCTAAGATTCAAAGGGAAAAACCTACTCCAGGAAGAAAACCTTAGGATGTTCACCATAGCAGCTTAATTTGACTTCACTATGGTGGGTGGGAGGGTATTTAGTAGGGGCATGTTTATTAAATCACCCCCTTACCTCCCGTATCATTGTTTTTGTGTTGCCAAGCAAGAATTTACCTGCCATGTGTGTTCTGCTCATCCTCAGTTACTTGCAAGTTGCCAATTTTTCACTTTTAAAATCTAAGACCCTGATCACCTCTTTTCTCCTTTTCCCAAAGTGTCATAAATACCCAATGTTGCCTCACTGTCTTTGGAATTTTCATGCTTATGTGAATGCCCCATGTGCACCTATTAAAATTTAATTTTTCTCCTGTTAATCTGTCTCTATTAATTTTATTATTAGCCCAGCTAGACCAACTTAGAAGGTGGGAGGAAAACTATTATAATTTTCAGCCCTCACAATGTAAAATAGATTATTCTTCTGTATGAAAAATAGTACCTGTTTCAAATTTTAAGCAACCTTAAAGACAGTTTACTTTAGGGTTAAATATATTTGAAATTAAATAGAAGTGTTTTAAAATATAAAAGTGTGTTAATGAAAAAGAATTGGATCTGACATCTGAATATAAACAGAACATGTTTTTGTTTCTGACTATTTTGGAAATCATTCTATGTGTGAACATATCAAGAGATGATTAAAAGATGAAAATTATACAGCTGTCATAAAGACAAAATCAGTCATTGGGCATAAAATGGTAATTATATCAGCATTGCTGGAGGAAATGATAAAGTAGGTATTGATAAAAAATACAAAAATTACCTTTCTTTCAGACTAATTTTCAAAAAACAAATTTTCAAATAATGATGCTTAATATATGCATGTATGTATATATGTGTGTATGCATGCATGTATTTCTGTATTTGTACATAAACCATATTTAATATATACATACTATAGTTAATGTATATAGAATAGTTGAACACAGGCTAAGGAAATATCCATAAACACATCCTTTTGGAAAAATAGAAGACTAACTCACAATTTGCATGTTGGTTATTTATATGTAAATGAATGCTTATAAAGTGTTTGAAAAAAAATGTGGGTTTCTCTCAACTTTGTATGCTCTTTGCCACCTTACTTCAAGTCTGAATTTGCTTAACAAATCCACAATTTAAACAGAGCAAGGGAAGTACCCTAGCCACTGCACTCGGAATCATAATGAAGAGTTTCAGAATTACGATACAGAAGTTATGAAATGAACCATTTGCTGTAAAACTTATTATTTTATTAAAATATGTTTTTATTGATTTTAGAGAGAGAAGAAGGGAGAGGGAGATAGAAACATCAATGAGAGAGAAACATCGATTGGCTGCTTTTTGCATGCCCCCTACTGGGGATTGAGCCCACAACCCTGGCATGCGCCCTGACTAGGAATCAAACTGGTGACCTCTTGGTGCATGGGACAACAATCAACTGAGCCACACTGTCTGGGTCATAAAACTTTTTCAATTACCTTATTTATTTCAGATTAGTATGTTATCATTGTCATTTGTTATATAACAAAGCAATTTGTAATCAAACATTTGTACACATTCCATACAAAGTTCGCCAATTTTCAAAAAATGTATCATACTTCGTGGGTTTCTAAAGCAAGTTACATATATTTTTAAGTTTCTTTAAAATCTCATGAGATTCTCACAGCAGTAGCAGGAGCTATGAGAGGAACTTTACATACACTATCTCATGCAATCTCCACAACAAACCTCATACCTCATGCCAATAACTAGGATTCTCTCCATTTTACAGGAGAGGAAACTAAAGTTCCAAGATGTTAAGAAACTTGCTTAAATTACACAGCAGTTAAAATGACAGAACTAGGATGCTGATGTAGTCTTTTCATACTCTAAAATCTGTGCTTTCTCTACTATGCCGTATTGCCTCTCCATGAAATATGTAAGAATGAATGAGAGAATTGGCAGAGAAAAAACAGATTACAGTTGACCCTTCAACAGCCTGGGTTTATACTGTGCAACTCTACTTATACGTGGATTTTTTCAATAAATACCTGTACTGTTTTCGATCAGCAGTTGGGAGCCCACCAATGCACAGGGCTCACTGTATGTATTGATTTATGCCATTATATATAGGAGACTTGAGCATCCTCAGATTTTGATATCTGCAGTGAGTCCTAGAATCAATTCTCTTTGGATACCAAGAGACAACTTAAGTGTTTGAGGAATCAAAGTTATATGCAGGTTTTCAACTGCAGGGGGAGGTACCCCCAAACCTTGAGTTGTTGAAGGGTCAACTATACATTAAGGCTTTAACACCATAACCCCACCTATATCCTCAAGAAAGAAAAAACAATTTCTAGAGAATGTTATGATATTACTAGAGGCCTGGTGCATGGATTCATGCACTGGTGGGGTCCCTCAGCCTGGCCTGTTCCCTCTCGCAATCTGGGACCCCTCGGGGGATGTCGGACTGCCAATTTCGGTCTGATCCCTGCAGGCCAGGGATGTAGTAGTGCGCGAAGTGGCAGGCGGCCCAGTAGGAGCCCATGCCCCTCCTCTCATCCCGGCCACACTGTGCCAGCTGCTGCTGCAGCTCAGTAAGCTTGCTAAGCAGTGCTCCCACTGTGGGAGTGCACTGACCACCAGGGGGAAGCTCCTGCATTGAGTGTCTGCCCCCCTGGTGGTCAGTGCATGTCATAGCAACCAGTCGATCAGTTGTTTGGTCACTTTGGCTTTTATATATGTACTAGAGGCCCAGTGTACGAAGTTTGTACACAGTGGGGGGGGGGGGTCCCTCAGCTCAGCCTGCACCCTCTCCAATCTGGGATCCCTCTTTCAATCCAGAACCACTGGCTCCTAACTGTTCACCTGCCTGCCTGCCTGATCCCCCTAACTGCTCTCCCCTGCCAGCCTGATCTCCCTAACTGCCTAACTGCTCTCCCCTGCTGGCCTGATCCCCCTAACTGCCTATCTGTTCTCCCCTCCTGGCCTGATCCTCTAACTGCCTAATTGCTCTCCGCTCCTGGTCTGATCCCCCTAACTGCCTAACTGCTTTCCCCTCCTGGCCTGATCCTCTAACTGCCTAACTGCCATCTTCTCCCTTCTCCCACGGTGCCGGCCTTCTCCCTTCTGCCTTCTCCTGTGGCACCTTTTTCCATGGCCTCTGCAAAAGGGACCACGGCACTGACCCGGCCCTCACAGCCGCGTGGCTGCAGGCCCTCGGCCCTTGCAGCCGCTGTGACGTTGTCTGGAAGGACATCTGGAAGACTTCCGGTCTAATTAGCATATTACCCTTTTATTAGTATAGATTATACATTTAATCTAATGTATTATACCTTCTCCATTTATGATTCTGCACAAAACAACTGATACTTGGAATTTTACCTGGGGCCCTGAGAAAATTTTTAATTAGCTAACCAAAAATTCAAGAATATCTTCTAAATTCTATTTATTGAGTCAGGAAAGTCACTGATTTTTTTATTTGCAATTAAAAGGGTTAAAATTAACAGTGAAGTGTAATATCCTGGTAACTAGAAAATTCAATTATTTAATATATTTCATTTCCTGAACATTTGTATTAGTAAAAGCTTTACTCTATTTAGCTTGACTTTCTCATAGGTTTAGAAGGTAAATAAATATGATAATGCATGTAAAGAGCTTACAACAGTGCCTGACCAATCAGTTATTCAAATTGTTTGTTGTTACTGTTGTTCATTGGTACATGCAACCAAGGTTACTAAGTGCCTACTATGTTTCAGGCACAATTGTAGGTGCTAGAGATAGAGTGGTAAATAAATCAAAGTTCCTGCACTATTGAAATTTTACCTTTGGAAATTTTAATGTGATGGGATTATGTGCTTCCTACTTTTACAGTTATTTTTTTTAATCATTATCATCGTCATCTCTCAACCAACTAACAACCAAGGATACACCATCTCTGAATTTACCACCATATTAAAGGTGCCTATTATAGGACATAAACTCTTTTAGATCTTTCTTAGGGAAATTGTCTCTCTGAACCTCTAGAGCACCTGAAAGGATTTCCTTGGGCTTACAGAGCAGGTTGAATGAACTGTTTTCTTTGTTGAATTGCTAACGAATGTTTAAATAACAAATCAGTGTATGGCAGGATTTGGTTTGATATTTGTTTTTATTATAACCTGATAGTGAGGGGGTTTTTTTGGTTTGTTTATTTGTCTTAATATATTTTTATTGATTTCAAAGAGGAAGGGGGAGAGAGAGAGAGAGAGAGAGAGAGAGAGAGAGAGATGCACACATCAATGATGACAGAGAATCATCGATCAGTTGCCTCCTGCACGCCAGTGGGGATTGAGCCCACAACCCAGGCATGTGCCCTGACCGGGAATTGAATTGTGACCTCCTGGTTCATAGGTCAACAATCAACCACTGAGCCATGCAGATCAGGCTCTGATAGTGAGGTTTTGGAGAGAATAACCCTTGATCATCTCAAGATTTCTTTAGAGGTTACTGTTATTTATAAACATAACCTAGGAGTTCTGCATGATCAAATTGGCTCAGGTCAGTGCACAGCATAAAGCTGTCAAGCTGTGTAAGAATACTTTAAACATTGAAGAAGTGTTGAATAATTTGCCTAAGAGCAAATCAGTAACTCCAGAATAAGGTTATTGCAAGGGTATGCACTCCAGAACAATTTTGGACAAAATAAGATAATGATGACATGATTCTGGGGAGACTATATATTTACTATAATCCAACAAATTTTAAACAATCCAACAAATTTAACTGCCTGCTCTTAGATTAATCAGGCTATGGATTATTATTATTAATAGCAATATCAAGAAGGGTTTGCATGAAAATAATTTGAGAAATTCACCTGAATTTCAAAACTTACAGATGCTTCAAACAATACCAAATTTAAAAATATTTTTATTGCATAGTCATATGAACCAAATTATTAAAAAAAAGAAAACAGGACAGCAAAGAAAAGGTATAGGAAATCTGTGAATTTTTATAGCATCTTACAAATCTCAAAGTGATTCACCCCTATTTAATTCTTATGATATTCAACTCTATGAGGTGGTAGTCCCCATTGGTTATTTGACAAAACAGATAGCTAGGTTTAGTGACTTGGCTAAAGTCATTGACATGTCATTGATATCATTGGCAGAATGTAGACCAGAATCTGGAATTGACACTAGATCATGTGATCTCAATGGTTTGACACGTATAGTCTTAAGCTCTAATTCTTTCTTTTTTACAGAGTAGTGTAACTGAAACTTTACCAATATAGCCTCTTCTTCATGTGACGGGCAAGAGAACATAATGCCTAAGAGAGAAGGAGAAAATGTTTCTGGCCTATTTAATGTTAAGAAAATTCTTCTCCTTATTTAATTACTGCTAACCCTAAACCCCTCTCATGCACAAACACCATGAAATTCTCAACCTCCTTTATTTGTCACTTATCAGTATCTTGTACTTATCATTTAGTCAACCATCTCACTAACTTCAAGACTGAATTAGCATTGCAATTAAGATTCCAGAAAACAAGTGATCACTACAGACAGGTAGCTTTTCCTTCCATTTCTGAGTCACAAATAAACCATTGTGTCAACAGGATACAGAATGAAAAGTTGCTTAAAAGCATACCAACATCCGAATTATGGGGGTGCCAGAAGAAGAGAGAGAGCAAGATATTGAAAACCTATTTGAAGAAATAATGACAGAAAACTTC